AACGTTTCACACAAATCTAATTTCCATTGTAATGGGGTTGCTGAATGGCCTACATGAATGTCAGAAACGAAATGGGATGGAAATTGCTATGCACTTACTAACTATGTATGTATGTACCGTGTGGAGTCACGCCAAAAAAAGAGAATGGACTTTTTATATTTCAAGCATTCAGCCATGACTGAATTAGCCAATAATTCGAGGGCAAACAGCACCTTTTTATAACTTCATAAAACACACGCACGCAGCACCATAAAATGAGATTTTGTGCCACATATAACTGGGAGTGGGGGGGGGGGCGAATAAGCTGAAGAAAAGGATAAAAGGCAGGCTACCGAGTATGAAGCGCATTCTTCTCCACAAGAATACGCTTCATACTCGACTTCGACTCCGATTTGTCTAGTCAGATATCAGTAGCATGCCCGTTTCCAAAAATTGCTCCTCTTGAGCGCCCAAATCCGTTTCTCCCTGTCCTCCACTGGAACACTGACAATATGACAGACATGGAAGAGTTTTTTCTTCATAATCTACCTATGGCAGGGGCAATGGCAGTGAACGCTAGTACCCGTTGCGCTTCACCATTTAGTCACCACCACCACCACCACCACCACCATCACCATCATCGCCCTTTCCCATTCTGAAGAGGCCGTAATCTCTGTCCTCATTTCAGAGGACTTAAACGAACATTTCACCACAAATCGTTCTGCCCTATTAATCTGAACCTCCGTGAGCTGGCCTTGCCCTCTTCATCAGAGCAATGAAGACCTTCTTCTCACATGAAATGGAAATTGGCTCAGTACCCTTTCCAAAAGAAAAATTGCTGCCTCAAAGTTTTTTGTTGAGAGTAGTACCACCTCAATTTTGTTGCCTTCATTGAAAATTTCACTGATATTTGTTTACATTTCATAAACAACTCAACCCAAACTAGTGAAGAAAATGAGCATTTGTTTATCCGTTGATGTCAAACTCTCCCGAAAAAATGGACATATAAAAATGGGAAGTTGAGCGTTTTTGTCGTTATACTTTTTGGTAAACAACCCTTGCTGTTCACTTTCAGTGCCCACGTACAACCCATGAATTGGTGGACTATTCAAATCGAGTGTTTTACCTGGAGCACTTTTTGTTTTTATTCTTTTCAGTGTACGGCCCACGTAATTGGCGCTTACCTCGATTCGTGCTTTCGCTGTCGGTTCGTAAACGATGAATGTCGAGGCCACTGTCGTTTAGCTGACGATTCTGCTGTCGTAATGTTTGAAGCAGGCTCATACGTCGTCTACGTTGACCACCGTAGATGGATGAAGCATATGGGATGCCCATAGGTACTTCCTCTCCAACGTCCGCTGAAATACGTATATCTTTAGGTAGTTAGTGACTCCTTGTTGGATTGGAATATCGTACAACATGCCAGTCGTATGCTCAGGTAGGTAGATACCAAAGGGCTGTAAAGGCAGGGCACGGTTGATATGTGCATGGAGGTTTGGGACTGAAAGGACTACAGTAATTAATAAAGAGCCTTCGGTTCAGGACCCAGCCCCGACCAATATTCAACGAGACCAGTCTACCGACACGGCATGGTAGGGCCTCAGAGGTGGCGCCCAAATTTTTACAGGATCAAGTCCGCTTTATGTAAAGGTGCTCGGTCCGGTCGCAGTTGTTTTCACTACAGAAAGACAAGGCACCACATCAGTTCTACCCCCGGCTTTCCTCGTAACCCATGAAAGTCGTTGATTTCCAGGGAGTAGTACTTATCGAGTCCCTCGTCAACAACTTCTCCTCGACGAAGCGCTTATGCTAAAGTCATTCTATGGCATGATAAACAAGAAAACATGGCTTAGTTGGGGATGGAGTAGACGGCGGCGAAGCCCC